CAGTGATTGAGTGTGAGTGATTGTGTGACCTTGACTTCAGTAGATCATTTAGCCTTTTCCTGCCTCAGTTTCCTTAGATGTGAAAAAATTGGGTTAGTAACTGACCCACTTTATGGGGGAGAATTTATTTATGGGAGAGAATTATCCATGCAAACTGTAGAAGTTCACACAGGGTCCACAGAGACAGAGCGGGGAGCAGAACAGGCTGAGTGAAACACACTGCTGAGGGGAGCAGCAGGTGAGTCAGGAGAGGTCTGCTGCACCATGTGGGTTTCTCCCTAGCTGGCCGGGTAATGAACTTGTGCTGCAGAGGCTGTGGATTGCTTCACAGTGTGATGCTTAACCCCTTGCACCACCAGGGAGGCCCATGTTTAATTTCTTGAACATCAGTCTCTGGTGAATCCTCTCGCCCTCCGCAACTCTGGCCTGTACCCAGGTCTTGTATGCATAAAAAACTGTATTCGTCATACATTGCAGGTAGAAATGTAAAATGGTATTGCCACTTTGGGACAATAGTTTGACTATTTCCTATGAAACTAAACATGTGTACCATGTGACTCAGCCATTGGAATCAGGCATTTATTCCAAGAACATTCATAGCAGCTTATTTATAATGGCCAAAAGCTGGTAGCTCTGCAGATGCCCTTCCTGGACAATCCATGTCCATTCATGACATGGAATTCTGCACTGCAATAAAAAGGGAACAAACTATTGATGCTAGTGCAATTATTAAACAAACTAGTAGAATCTGAATAATCACCATGGATTGTACTAGTGTTGATTTCCCAGCTTTGATATTATATCATTACTATAGCTATGCAGGAAGTTACCACTGGGAAAAACTGGGTGAAAGACATACAGGACTGGCAGCAGCTCTCCTGCCCACCTGGGACTGTGCAGGTGTTTTCTCTTCACCAGCCTTCTCCCTTTGCAAAGGAGCAGAGGCAGCTTAGCTCTCCTCCCAGGCTGCCCGCCTGTGACTCTGCAGGCCTTTCAGGGACAGCTCTTTCTGCCCACTTGTGTCTGTACAAGCATCCTTTACCTCTCTTCCCTTTTTATAATAAACCTGTCCTTCTGAATATTAAAAAAAAAACTCCATGTAGATTTGTCTGCAAAACATGAATCTATAAGTAGTTCAAAATGACACATTAAATAAAATAAATATTGAACTTTATCAGATGAATTTTGATAAACTTTAGTATTGCGCTTTTTCTTTTTTTTTTTTTATAAGGTGAAGAGGATTTTTTTTTTTAAAGATTTATTTATTTATTTATACAAGCACTGGGTACAGTCAGAAGCACGGGAGGGTGAGAGAATTCACCAGAGTCAGAGCGGAGAGCAGAGCAGGCAGACTGACGAAGTACACTGCTGAGGGGAGCAGCGGGCGGCATGAGAGGTCTGAGCGCCATGTGGGACCCTCACCCGGTGGCCGGGGATCGAACCAGCGCTGCAGAGGCTGCAGGCAGCTTTGCAGCCCAGTGCTCAACCGCTGCGCCACCGGGGAGGCCCGTATTGCGCTTTTTCTGTGTCTATATAGATGATTAGGTGTAGTCCATTTCTTTGGCAAAGTACATAGTTTGTTGTTAAATCTTGAATTCCTGATAAATTCTGTTTGGTTATAATGTAGTTTAAAACAATAACACATTGGATTTTGTCTGCTATTTCATTTAGAATTTTCACATCTGCATTCATAAATTAAGCGAGTCTATCATTGTATTTTTTTTTTTTTTGTAACATCCCAATCAGGTTTGAAATCTAGACCATACTAGAGCTTCACTTAACATGATGGGCAGTTTCTCCCACCCCCACCCCTTTTCTTTTTCCTGCAACAACTGGATTAAATAGGGGTACTGGCTCCTTGAAAGTTGTTGGAGCCCTTCTGTGAGACTCTTGCCTGAGTTGTTCTAGTGAGTGAGCTCTGATTAGTATCTTCTTTCCTTTGGCTATCACTTACACACCAAAGTTCCTGTGGTTTCTTATACTCCCCCAGAAAAGAAATTCTACTCATATTTTCAAATTTCTTGAGTTCTCTTTTTATCCTTTCAGTTGTTTAGACTTTATAACTAGTTATTTATATTCAGTAATCTCTGTTGAAATAACCAGAGTGTCTCTGGATCAAATCGTGACTGATGTAATTGTATATTCTCTTGTGGAGCTTTGGCTTGATGTCCTGTTCATGGGCTTTTTTTGTATTTGTGAGATTTACTATGAGGCATGTAGCTTTGTTCCTGTCATCTTGTCCTTTCTGTTGGTGGGCAGTTTGGGTTATTTCTAGTATGGGGCTGTTGTGAGCATCCTTGCATGTCTTTCGTGACCATGTTTCCACACTCCTAGGCATACCTAGGAGTGGAGTTACTGAGTCATGAGCAGATTTGTGTTTAGCTTTAGGAAATATGTCTAGTTTCTCAACGTGGTTGTACCTCTCTACCTAGTAGATGAGAGTTGTAGGTTCTCCCCATTCCTACCACTTGGTCTTGATAACTATCTTCATTTTAGCCCTTGTGGTAGGTCAGTTCCATTCATTGAGACCCCCCTTTTGTAACAAGTTATGTAAATGTGTAGGTCTGTTTTGAGGTGCTCTATTCCATGGATTGTTCTGTCTACCCCTCCACCATTACCACACTATTATGTTTACTACAGCTTGACATGAAGCATCATGTTTAGAGGTCCCTGATCCAATTCAACAGCATGTGTGGAGGATTCCCCATACCAATAAGTAATGCCCTGACACCACCATGGTGTCTAAGAATTCAACTCAATTTGGACACTCTCTACCCAGAGATAGCATTAGATGTCACAGTAATGGGCTCATTCTCCCCAGACCACTTTCAATTTGTTAGAGCAACTCACAGGACTCAGAAAACCCTTTACTCACGAGATCACAGGTTTATTACAGGATATAACTCAGGAATAACTGGATGGAAGAGACGCACAGGGCAAGGCCTCGAGTTTCATATTCTCCCTGGGCATTCCATCTCCCCTAAATCACATTCTCACCAACTTGGAAGCTCTCTGAAATCAAGCCCCCCCCCTTCTTTTTTAACATTTTGAAAGGACAGGTTTTTTTAGGAAAAGGTGAAAAAAAGACACCTCCATAGACACAGGTTTCTTTTTGTTTAAATAGTGTTTGTTTAGGGGTCTCCCCGTTGAGCACAGCGCTGTGAAGCTGTCCGCAGCCTCTGCAGTGCGGGGTCGATTCCCGCCAGCCAAGGAGAAACCCACATGGCGTAGGAGACCTCTCCTGCCTCGCCTGCTGCTCCCCTTAGCAGTGTCTTTGGTCCATCTGCCTGTTCTGCTCCCCGCTCTCTCTGGTGAATTCTCTCACCCTCCTGTGGCTCTGACCTGTACCCCAGTTCTTGTATAAATAAAATCTTTAAAAAAATTTGTTTAAATATTATTATTTAAACATTATATCTTTTCTTTCTGAGCTGATTCTAAGGCTCTAGGAATTTATTCATTTTTGTCTCATTTTCAAAATTGTTGGCATATAGTTAATATGGATTAGTATTTGGCCATTTGCTTATAGGCATATTATTGTTAATACTATGAATAAATTATTGGCCTTAGTTAATTAATTCTTCTTTGTCTGTTAGTCTTAGCTCCACCCTGGCACAGTTCTTTTTCAAGTGCTGTCTCCACTAGAAGAGCGATGTTCAGGGGCTGGGTGTCTCCAACCTTTGTGCTGAGGTTACCTGAAGCTCTGGATAAGTAGGAACTTAAATGCTTTGCTGAGACTTCCAACCCTCTCAGAACACATTCTGCTGTGAGCTGCTTCTTAGCCCCTTTTTGTCTTTACATATCCCCCCCATCCCTCAGGGCTGACCACCTTCATGGCCCTAAAGGGTTTTTGATTTTTGTTTTTGTTTTGGATAGTATTAACAGTTCCTATAACTTCCCTCTGACTTTCTTGGAGTCTCTTGGTTGTTCAGGGAAGGAGCCACACTCAGGATCTTTCTCCTTGTTAGGAGCTGTTAGACCTCTGCATTTAGTGGTTTCCTCTGCCTGAGGAAACTTGGCCTGATTTATGCCTCCTTCCCTCTCTCCCTCTCTCCCCTTACCCCCACCACTGAGCATCCTTGAATCCCTACTTGACCCTGTCACACTGGAATCCTGCTCATTGCTGTCTGGTTTCTTAGAGAGTCTTCCCCCCATGGCACTTTGAGCTCCTTTAGTCAGAACTGATTTGCTCTCTGAGGGAGCCATTGTGCTCTCTCTGTAAAAAATTGACCAACGCCCTCTTCAGCGCCATTATTCATAGTAGCCGAAAGGTGGAAACAGCCCAGCTCTCATGGACAGATGAATGAATAACATGTGGTCTGTCCATACAATGGAATGTTATTCAGCCATTAAGAGCAAGGTAGTCCTGATGCCTGTTACAGCATGAATGACTCTTGAGGCCATTTCACTAAGTGAAAACAGTCACTCCCAAAAGGACAAATACTATATGACCCCATTTATATGCGGGGTTGAGAGTAGTCCAGTTCGTGGAGGCAGAAACTAGAGTGGTTGTTTCCGGGCCTGGGGGACACATTTGCTCTGTCACTAGACAGTGTCAGCTGGGAAGATGAACAAGTCCTGACCGTGGTGATGGGTGACTGTGCTCGGCAATCCTGACGGTACACTTGAGAGTGGATGAGATTCTAATTTATGTTTTGTGTTATTTAACCACAACTTAACATTTAAGTTAACTAATCAAAAAATAAATGTAACACTATCGTATGAGGTCACACTTTTTTTTTTTTTTTTTTTTTTTTAGATATAACTATGGCTCCAGGGAATAGAATTGTTCAAAACCTACCTCTCAGCAAAGAGCCAACTATAAAAATTAAAACTAGGGGCCTCCCCGGTGGCGCAGCGGTTGAGCGCTGCGTTGTGAGGCTGCCCGCGGCCTCTGCAGCACCGGTTCGATCCCCGGCTGCTCCCCGGCCACCGGAGGAGGGTCCCACATGGCGCGCAGACCCCTCCTGCCGCCCGCTGCTCCCCTCAGCAGTGTACTTCGGTCCTTCTGCCTGCTCTGCTCCCTGCTCTGGCTCTGGTGAATTCTCTCACCCTCCCGCGCTTCTGACTGTACCCAGTGCTTGTATAAACAAAACAAACAAACAAACAAATAAATAAAACATCCCTCTAAAAAAATATTAAAAAAAATTAAAACTAGGAAATAATAGACTATTTTGACAATTACATGATGGTGTTAAGCACTTAAAATATACTTAAATGTTGATGTTTCCTCTGAGATTCTCTTTTTGTGTTATTTGCTCATTGTTTTTACTGAGCTCTGGTTTTTCCATATCGAATTGTTGAGGTTTTATAGATTAGTGTCATTAATTCTTTTTGTTGTGGTTAAATATGCTACAAATATTTTCTTCTGATTTGCATTTGGGCTTAACTTTGCTGTGTGATTTTTTTTTTTTTAGCTCACAGAAGTATTCATTGTTAATGCATTTAAATCCATCAGTCTTTTCCTTTGTGGCTTTTGCATTTTGTGCCAGACTTTGAAAGTTCTGGAAGTGTTTCACTGTTAACTCAAGATGTTGCCCATGAGAAATAAAACATTGGCTGCTATTTTTCTAAAAACCTAAGACTTTTTTCTTTTTTTTCCCAAGATCCATTTATTTATGCATACAAGAGCTGGGGCACAGGCTAGAGGTGTGGGGGATGAGAAGACTCACCAGAGACAGAGTGGGGAACAGAACAGGCAGATTGACCAAAATACACTGCTGAGGAGAGCAGCGGGCAAGTCAGAAGAGGTCAGCAGCACCATCTGGGCAGCCCCCTGGTCGGCAGGGGATCAAACTGTGCTGCGGACAGCCTCACAGTGCTGTCCTTGCGCCACTAGGGAGACCTAGAAGCTGCTAAGACGTTAATGAATGTTCATGAGACTAAAAAAAAAAACAAAAAACAACTGCCTCCCTCCCAGCTTTTAGGTGATCATTGTGCAGTCTTGCTCCCAACCTCTGCTCTGCCATGTCCATCCCTGCAGCACCTGTCCATCCTTGCTCTGCTCCTGGCTCAGTCCTGCCCTTCCTCCAGGTCCCATCAGCCCCCACCAGCTCCATGCTCCCCATCCATATGGGTGCCTTTTCACCCTCTCTAGGGTAGGGGGGAGCAGTCTAGTACAGGATTGGAATCTGAGGTTTGTTCCCAAAGACATGTCTCTGCCTTTTCCCAGGAAGACCTTTGGTGGCTCAGTGACTCTACAGAGTGACCTGTGACCCTGGTGTCTGGCATATGTGGCCAGTGCTTGGGAGTCCTGGGGGGACACCCAAAGCCTGCCTGATGCCTGGCTCCTCCCTCCAGGCCAGCTGCAGTGAGTGCATGGCCAGGCTGAGGGTTTCCAGGGCTCACAGTCTAGGGTCAGGTCAAGTCTGGAGTCAGGACTGAATCTGGGCAGTATTTAGACCTGCTAATAACTTGTTTGGTGATGGCTCCATCTGGAGAGCAGGAGCTCCTGGGCTTTAATTTGGAAGCAAGAGGCGAGGTTTCATGGCGGCTCTGGCAGGGTCTAGCCACAAGGTTGGGCAGAGGCCTGTGGGAGGCGAGGGCTCCTGGGCGGGGTAGGTCCCCTTAGTGCTCTCTCTTCCTTGCCTCTATGCTGTGCACTGTGGCTGGCTGACTCTGGGTAGCCTAGGAAGGCAGAAGGACCACGCTGGATCCAGCACCAGCTTCCTGCCCTTTGCTGAGGGTAGATGGGGTATCTCCAGTCCCAGGCCACCCAGGCAGTCCCTGGCTCTCTTGGCTTTCTGTTTCTTCAAGTAGCATTTCTGCTTTTGTGTCAGTGTCTCCATCATTCGCCTGTCACCGGCCTCTCGTGCATGCAGGATATAAAATGCTATGGCCTGCTATGCAGACCCTCCTGCCATGGTGGGTGCAGCCTAGAGAGCATCTGGTGGCTGCCCCCTTAACCTCAGGGAATTAATTCACTAAACTCCTCCACTCCTGGGCTTCTGGCATGCACCCTCCCTACTATTCCCAAAGCCTCCCTGCTCTTCTGGGACCACCTGGCTTTCCAGGAGCACTGAGGTGCCACCAGAGAGCCAAGCTCTCATGCTGAAGACTCTGTGACCTTGACCCCTTAGACATCTGGAATTTCCCACTAGGGTTGGCTACCTGGGATTCCTGATGGCCCGCTCTCCCAACTCCCTCCCATGATCAGGAGGGACCAGCACTGTCCCCTGCTGCGCTGGTCTCATCGATCTGTCCCCTGGCCAGCAGGGGAGGACAGGGTGTCCTTGAGGATGGGGGGGAGGTTGGGATTCCCTTATTTCACCCAAGCACAGACACACAGACTCGAAGCAGTGTTCAGCCTTCTATTAGAGATTCTGCCTCCCCTGGGACAAATATCCACTGTTCAGCATCCTCTGGAGCACACGTCCGGTGTGTGGGGGTGTGTGTGGCTATTCTGCTGGGCAGGGTGTAGCACAGGGGTCTGGCCCTGTGCTCTGAGAGGGGACCTTGGTGAGGCTGGTGTTTGTGGCAGTGGCTGGGAGGGCTCGCCTGCCCTGGAGACCAGGACTGGGCTCTTCCTGTAGGGGCAGGTTGCAGCTGAGGCCTGGGTTCTTTTGAGGACCTTCCCTGGTGCTTTCAGGCTCTGCCATCTGGCTAGGCCCTCAGGAGGTGGGACTTCCTTGGAAGGTCATGGTGGGGCACCTGCCTCACGTTGCTCTGTGACCCTTGCCTGGCACTGTGCTCTCTTGGCCCATTTCTTCTGCTGGGGACTGGCCCCCTAACCCCTCAGCGGGAGGAACCCCTGAGAGGTCACAGGCAGGAACTGGTGCAGACGAGTGTGTGTGGGGAGTAGGTGACTGGGACAGGGGCCTGGCCTCTGGCAGGGGCTGGGGTGGCCTAATCGTCTTTGTCCTTGGCCCCATGTTTGAGGATACGGGTGAACTCCACGTAGTTGAAGTTGCCTTTCTTATCAATGGGTGCCTCCCGGTACATCTCGTCCACTTCCTCATCTGTGAAGCGGTCTCCCATGGTGGTGAGCAGCTCCCGTAGGTGGTCCTCATGGATAACACCTGGGGGCAGGGCCAGGGTCCATGAGAGCAGGCCTTGGGTTGGGACATGCCCAGTACCCCCTGTCCCTCAGCCCCCCACCAGCCCTTGCAGACCTTGTAACAGGGCGGAGATCAGAAAGACACAATCCTAGTCACTTGGCAGGACCCCAGAGAGAGAGAGTTCTGCACATGACTGTCTTCAAAGTGTTTTTGTGAGAAACTTGGTGCTGAGTGTGGGGGTGTCAGCTTCCTCATGCTTTGAGAGCATGAGCCCTGGAGTTCCACTGCTTGAGTCTGAATGCTGATCCCCCTTCTTTCTAGCTGTGTGATCTTGAGCAAGTTACTTAACAGCTCTGTGTCTGTTGGATTTAGAAAATGGAGATGAAAATAGGCCATCCTGGTGGGGAGCCATAAAGATATTCAGGAAAACGTTCTGAACATGCTTAGGCCAGAAGTGGCCCCTGAGTGATGTTATTACTGAAACTACTGCTGCCAGCATCACTCTGGCCTGACCCTGGGAAGAGTGGGTGATGGGACAGGAAGTCTGGAAGCTCTGAGATGGGCTCTGGTTTCTGTACCTTGTTGGTCAGAAGGGCATGAAAGGGTTTGATTTCTGGAAAGTTCTCAAGCAGGTGGAGGGAGAGTGCTGGGCAACAGGTGAACTCAAGAAGCGGGACGCTTTGGTGACTGTGGGCTGTTTTGACCTAGCCTTCTGGGGAGGGAGCCAAGGAGGCAGCATGTCTTTTATAGTTGTGGTCACTGAAACTGGCAGATGGCTGTTTTCTGTTCTGGTCTTTGGGGGGCAGCCAGGTCCTACTTGCATACACAGAGGTACTGTGTATGAGTGCCAGCCCCATCCAGCCTCCACCCAGACACTGCTCACCTGAGGCCTCCTCATCAAAGCAGGCGAAGGCATTGCGGATCACATCCTCAGGGTCTGTGCCGTTCAGCTTCTCCCCAAACATGGTGAGGAACATGGTGAAGTTGATAGGTCCCGGGGCCTCGCTCATCATGCCTTCCAGGTACTCGTCAGTGGGGTTCTTCCCTGTAGTGGATGGGGCATTTGTACCTGCTGTCACAGCCCTGTCCCTGACCACTGCCTGACGCCCCCTCACAGCCTGGAGTGAGAGTCTGGGGAGACGGCCACCCGCAGGAGATGGGGAGTTTTGTGAACTGTAAAGCACAGTGCTGGGAGGCCAGATTTCTAATGCCCCTGTGCCCTTCAGGCTCCCTCCTCCAGGCTTTCAGCTCTGGGCCACTTTCCTCCTCGCTCTGGATAGCTGTCCCCATGGTCATGCATTCTAAAGTACAACCAGAGCCACCATCTGCTGGCTGAGCACTGTCTGGTGCTCCATGCACTTCACTGCATTTCCCTTGCACCTCTCTCCAAGGTCAACATTCTTATTCCCACTTGGCAGGTGTGGAACCTGACGCACAGAGAGGTGAGGTCACTTGTTCAGGGTCACACAGCGTAAGTAAGGAGCAGAACTGGCATTTGAACCCAGGCAGCCAGACTCCGGGCACAGTTCAAAGTGGTTAAAACCAGCGAGCTTTGGTGTCACACAGGTCTGTCTGGGTTTGCATCTGTGTCTTGGTACCTCCACCTTATAGGAGAATTGTGATGAAGAATACAGCAGTGGTTTTAAGACACACAAACAATGATCAGCAAGACCCTGTGGATTCTGGAATCTACTACTGGGTTAAAATTCCAGCTGTAACACTTAGTAGCTGTGTTACTTTGGGCAATTACTTAACCTCTCTGAACCTCTGTTTTTTCATTTGTAAAATGAGAATAATAATCACATCTACCCAGTAGGATTACTTTGAGATTTAAGATAACACTCACAGAGCAACTCCTTCTTATATTTACTGCTCTTGTGTGTGTGTGGTTTTTTTTTTTTGTTAAGATTTATTTATGCATATAAGAGCTGGGGCACAGGCCAGAGATGCCGGGGGTGAGACAACTCACCAGAGACAGAGTAGGAAACAGAACAGGCAGACTGAGTGAAATACACTGCTGAGGGGAGCAGGAGAGGTCTGCCGCACCATGTGGGTTGCTCCCTGGCTGGCCACGGATCAAACTTGTGCTGCAGAGGCTGAAGATTGCCTTATAGTGCAGTGCTTAACCCCTTGCGCCACTAGGGAGGCCCTACTGCTCTTGTTTTTTAACCTAAGGATGATGATTTTAATCAGAAGGCCATGACTGATCTGCAGGCCCACTAACATGAGCTGCAGCCTAGGAGTATGGGGTTTTCTGGTAGACGTCAGAGCTGGCATCAGGACTCGGGGGTCCAAGGCCCTGAGTACAGGATGTTACCCAATAAATGAAATGAGTCTTCATGTCCCTGTCTCCTCTGCGCCTCACATACCTGCTGTATCCCCACAGGCTGGCTGTGGTCCCAGAGGAGTTATGACATCAGGACCACTGCCCCTCCCCTCATAAACTCCTTTCTGTGGTGACCTAGGGAAGAAATCTAACCTGAAGCTGGAAGGAGAGGTTTGGCACCTCGGGTGGGGACCTCCCAGCACCCTTCAGGGGTGGGGGGTGCACCTGAGGGCCACAATCACCACCGCACAGGAAGGAAAGCTGGCACACGGTGGGGCTGCTCAGCCTTGAGGGGCAGTGCCAGGGACTGACTCAAGCTTAGCTGGCCCTACAGTTTGGGGCCTGACCCAAACTACTATAGCTGCCTGCTCTGCTCCCCCAGCCAGTGACGGGTCCAGGTGCTCTCACCGTGATGAGGTAACTGGGACCGAGAGTGGGTGTGTGTGGCTAGCACATGTGGCAGACCCACAACTCTAGGGGTGTCTGGAGGTCTGGCCTCTGGGTCTCAGTTTCCTCATCTGAACAATGGCCATTTGTATTCCATTCTTGAGTTCTTTCAACTCCAAGATTCTGATTCTGGGGAAGTCACTGAGGTAAGAGAAACGAAGCCTGGCACAGGTGACCTCTCCAGGTGGGATATGCTCTGGCTTCCCCGCTAAGCCTCACTTTCCCATCTGTAGAACCGAAGTCCATGCAGTTCAAGCTTTTTTTTAGCCACTGGACGTTTTCTTTAAATGTTACAAGGCATCCAATCCACAAATCTACCTACAATAGACCTGCTCTGGGGACAGTGTGGCTGGGTTCAAATCCAGGCCTAAACTGTTGTGCCTCAGTTTCCCTGCCTGTTAAATGGAGCAAAGAGTGGCACCTACTGTCCAGGGTGGGTGCCCATGTCACTCTGTAGGAAATGTTCCATGAGTGCCCAGCAAACCCACTACCTTCCCCGCCCACTTGGGGCCTCACCCGTCCTGCTCACCCAGCGAGGCCAGCATGTCATGCAAATCCTCTTTGTCGATGAAGCCATCCCGGTTCTGGTCAATCATGTTGAAGGCCTCCTTGAACTCCTGGATCTGGGACTGGTCAAACATCGCAAAGACATTGGATGTGGCTCTCTGGGGCCGCTTCTTGGTGGTCTTGGCCTTGGCCCGTTTGCTGGACATCTTGGCTTCAAGATGGGTAGGTGGGTGAGGCTTCCCTACAGGAAGGGCATGGAGCGGGGTGGGGAGCTTTAGACCCTGGGCCAGGGAGTCTTCAGACTTGGGGCTCCTGCCACCCATCTCATTCCACAAGTCGACAAGTGTGGGCTCTGTGTGATTTCAAACTACCTCCTCTACATCTCTGAGCCATTCCTCATCTGGGAAGGGGTAAGCGAGGAGGCGCGCCCAGCAGTAGGGATTAATTCATTGACTTGACTTAGTGTCTGAGAAGCGCCAGACAGAGTAAGCTGTTTTTGCTGTGATTGGGTAAAATGCTCAGGAATGGGCTTGGTGCCAACTATCTCAGTGCTTTATCTCCTTTATTCCTCACTAGCAGTTACTCTCCCCATCTCTCCCTCCCCAAGGGGTAAGGCCAGAAGAGCTGTGGGATGCTATGAGGGCACTGCTGGGGTTGCCTTCCAGGCTCCACCCCGCCCCCCCCCCCCAAGCAGGAAGGATCTCGATTGGCTGCCCTGAATTCCTGGCATTCCTGGCCCTCTCTCCTCCTCCCCATCCCTCTGGACTCCAGAGTTGGAGGTTCTGGAAGGCCCTTCCCCCACCTGTCCACACTGGATCAGCCCTGGTGGGGAGGTTGAAGGACTGGCTCAGTTTGGACCCTATTCCTCATTCTCACTTCAGAGGGCTCCCCCAGCTGAGAACCCCAATTCCGTCACCTGTGTTTAGGCCTGGCCTCCAGAGCCAGGTTTCCCATCCCATGTACACCTGGATCTTCACTTTGGAACTCTTGAAAGTCCCTGCTACCACTAGAGCAAATCTGGCCCCATCAGCCTGGTGTTCAAGGCCCTGTGTGAATCCATCTTCTCACTGACTGACTGTGGCACCTTCACTGTGTCTCTCTTGCCAGCTACAACCCTTGCAACTGAACTGCTGGCTGTTCTCCAGACACCCCCAGGCTTTGCTCCTTGGCCCCTTCCCAGGAATATTATTCCTTCTGCCGCCCAGTTCTTGAGACACCCCCTTGGGGAACTGTTTCTTTGCTCTTGTTTTGACAGCAAGGCCTTTCTCCCTCCTCATCAGTCAATCGGGCATAACTCCTGATTTACACCAAAGCCCACAGTTGGCTAACAGATGCTTATTTAATGAATGACTGAGGACAACTGCAGTCCTCACTGTACAGAAAGGGAAACTGAGGCCCAGTGAGGGGCACTTTGCCTGAGAGCCTAGAGCTGTGTGCCCCTCGGCTGGGGCCTCTGTGGGCCTGGTAAGAGGCCCTGGGGCTGTTACCACCCTTTCCTCTGGTCCAGGGTCTCCAGCAAGCTGCTTCTGCTTGTTGGGTTTTTTTCCCACCCCAAATTGTGTGGTTGTGTCTCTTAAGCTGTCTCCAAGCCTTTATCCCATGACCTTGGCCTTTGGTCTTTGGCCCTGAGCTGGGATCCTGGCCAGCCCCAGTGTCCTGGGGCCTCAGCACCGTGAGAGACACTGGCAACCTGTGCCCTACACCTTTCCCTTGGTATTTCTCACATGGCCAAGGGGGTGTAGGCAAAAGCCCTTCTCCCTCATGACCTTGGTGGCAGGGTGACAGTGGGAGGAACGCCATCCTCCTCTGTGCTTTAGTGCTTTGTGGGGCCTGGTCCTTCCCTGAGCCTGGTCTTCTCCGGGAACTTTAACTCTGGGCACCCATAGAAGGCTGCAGGGGATGAGTTCACTGTGCCCAGCAGAGGCAGTGATAGTCACCGTCACTGTCACCGCAGGGCTCTAGGGCAGGCATGGCCAGAGCTCATCCACTGCTGTCTGAGGCTGGCTGGGCCCCATCTTCCATCAGGGAGCCATGACATGACCCAGAGTACTGTGCTGTGGGAATCTCCATCCCAGCAGCCTTGGGAGCAAGGTTCCCAAGCAGTAAGCAGAGAAGAGCAGTTTCTGAGAGGGGTACAGGCCAAGTAGAAGCCAGGACCCCTGGATAATACTTGGGTTAGAGGGGGACACATGGCCCTTGGGAGTCTTCGAGGTTTGGTCACAGAAGGAAACATCTGTCTTGAGAGGCGCAGGTAGCCTATGGGTGAGGGCCTGAGGGCTCTGTGTGACTGGAGGTGGGTTCACAGGCAGGCTGGGCTCCTGTACACCTCAAAGCCCCGTTCTGCAGGCCCTAGAGAGCAGGGATCACATACATCTGACAGTTGGCCTGTGACTAGACGCTGCCACCCCGTACTGGTGTCTGAAATCCCATTACCTCAAGGTCCTTGTGGCTGGGCAGTGCCAGATGCCTGCTCACGAGCTCGTCTCAGGCTGATTAGCTGACTCCTGAGAGCAGCCGGAGGGCTGGGGAGGAGATGGGGTCGGGTACCTCCAGCCCCTGTCCTTGTCTGGCCCTGGGGTGAGCATGGCAGACCTTCATCACCCGCAGGCAAGGCTGGGCAGACAGCCCAGAGCAGGAAGCCTGGGTACATGGCTTGGTGTGTGAGGGGCGGTTACCTGGTCTCTAACCCTCTCCCCAGACCCGGCCTGGTGTGGGACACGGGAAGGAGACAGGGATGCTCTGGAGGGGTCTCCTGGAGCCTGACCACCTGTTTCTCCTCTATGAGCGGGGCTGCCGGAGCAGGGAACGCTGTCACCACAGCCCCCTCGGCTCCTCCTGAGCACCCGGAGCTCTGGGCTCAGCCTCTAACTCCACAGCAAGGGGCAGGGCTTGAATAGCCTCCTTCGCTAGTGGAGGGGCCACAGGTCCCCAGGGCCGGAACCGGGCCCCCTGCCGCCCCATGGGAGCCAAAAGGCTGGTGGGAGCCCAGCAGCGGCAGCCGCAGCCCCCGCCCCACGCGGCTCCCCACAGCCCTCGGCCTCCGGTCGTCCCGGGGCCTGGCCCCTGCCCCGACCGCGCCTGGCGGGCTCCCACCTGGTGCGGAGAGGGCGCTCTGGGTCTCGGAGCGACAGCCGTGCAGGGTGCGGTGGCGGCCTTCGGTCTGGTCTGCGGGTCTGCCGGTGGGGCAGTCGGGGCGGGCCTGGTGGGGGCGGCGGGCGCTGGCCGGGCCTTACAAGGCAGAAGAATGTGCGCGCTGTGGGGCGGGGCGAGGCTGCCTGCCCGGCCTTATTTGGGCTGGGGTGGGGGTGAACCCCCAGGTTGCAGCCTTCCCGAAGTGGGTGGGGGAGAGTGGTCTGAGTGATTGCGGGCGGGACTGGCTGGGGAGGGGAATTTATCTGCGTTGTCCCCTCTTGAGGCAGGCAGGACATCTAGGAGCCCCCAGTTCTCAGATCCTCCTACCGCCTGTCCCCCTAAGCCCTGCTTCCCAGCATCCACTTTTCCAGTATGAGGGAAGAGGTGATACAGAGAGGACCTGGTGTGCTCCTTACAACAAAAGTCTCCAGAGGGTGTGAGGAGCGCTTGGAAGTTGGACACGACCATGCTAAAGGAGGGGGACACCCCCGTGTCAGCCAAGCCACCCTCTTCTCCAGCTGCCGTGTTTCCCCACGTGTAAAATGGGAGAGTGGTGGTGAGAATTCAGTGAAAGTGGTCAGAAAGGGACAGGAGGCTGGGGGACCACAGACACATTCTGGCCACCATGGCAGCCCCTCTTACCCCCGCTTGTTGGCCTGAGATGAAGGATGGGGTCTGGAAGGACAGACCCCTTCCCTCCGGCGTCAGGCATCAGGGTCTCTCCATCCTTTTGATCCCTGAAGGAACCCTTTACTCACCAGCTTTCTCTGCCTCCCCCTTTGATGCAACACAGATGTTCCCAAGGGAACTTTCCAAGACCCAGTTACTTCTGTAAATATTGACTGACAGCTGTTCCCTGGAAGTGTGTGTGCTTGTGGAGGAAAACTGCAGTGAACAAGTAGCCGCATGGCTGGGGGGTAGGGGGAGTACCAAGTGCCTTGAAGGAGAATAGAGCCTCCTGGGAGGTGAATTTGGGGCCATCTGAAGGAGGTGAGGGAGTGAGCCCAGCCCAGTGAGCTTGAGGCAGAAGCCCTGTCAGGGGAGTTTGTCCAGCTCAGGTGGAGGAGCTATGGGGACCAATGTGAATGTGGGGAGAGGGGGTGGACTAGCTGCTCGCCCGTAGGCCACTGCAGGCAGAGTTCTGAAGAGAAGGAGGACTTGGTCTGGCTTAGGTTTTAGTTGAATCCCTCGGCATGTTGTCTTGGAAATGGACTGAAGGACCAGGGTTCGAGGCGGGGAGGCCAGTGAGGACTTATTCAGCAGGATGATGTGTTCCGAGCAGCATGGTGGCAGGAGGAGGTGAGGAGGCTAGGATTCTGGAAACGTTTCCAAGGTGCAGCCAATGGGGTTAGTGGGCAGATGGGAATGGTTGTGGAAGAAAAGTCCAAGATGACTCCAAGGATTCTGTTCTAGGCAACAGGAAAGATAGAACTGCCATTTTTTAAGACGGGTTAGCTATGGAAGGAGCAGGTTGGAGCATAAATCAGAAGTTCTGTTTTGTACATTAATTTAAAACACATTTTTATTTTGAAATAATTTCAAATTTAAAATAACATTATAATAATTGTACAAAGAGCTCCTGTACTCTTTGACCCAGATTCTCTGATTATTAACATTTGGCTTTTCCTCTCTCGTAACGTGTGTGTGTTTGTGTGTGTGTGTTTGTGTGTGTTTGTATTTCCCCTGAACCACTTAAGAGTAACTTGCATACTTCAATGAGTATCTCCCCAAAAAGGAGATTCTCTTATATTCCATAGCATATAGAATACAGGAGCTCTTTGTCTGGACCGTGATCAAAGTCAGGAAAATTTTAGCATTGATCTAATACTATTACCTAATCTACCATATCCAAGTTTTGCCAACTATCCCAATCATGCCCTTTATAGAAAAATTTTTTTCTTGTCCCAGGAGCCAATCCAAGATGATGTGTTGTCATGTTTCTTTAGCCTCTCTAGAGGTGCGGGGTGTGGAAGGTGTGGTATATTTGCATAAAGTTTAGCAATTGAACCAGTTTTCAGTGAACAGTTTAGTGGTATTAAGTACATTCACATTGTTGTACAACCATCCACCAGATCCATTTCCAGAGCTGTTTTTTTAAGATTTATTTTTATTTATTCATACAAGAACTGGGGTGCAGGCCAAAGGAACTAGGGGAGAGAGAATTCACCAGGGATAGAGTGGGGAACAGAACAGGCAGATTGACTGAAATACACTGTTGAGGGGAGCAGCGGGCGAGACAGGAAAGGTCTGCTGCGCCATGTGGGTCAGGTCTTTGGCCAGGGGTTGAACTCAAGCCGCAGTGGCTGGTGATAGCTTCATAGTGCTGAGACTAGCCCCTGTGCCACAAGGGAGGCCCCCATTTCCAAAACTTTTTAATCTTTCCCTGCTGACACTGTAGCCATTAGACAGTGTCCCCTCCCCAACCCCTGGCAACCACCACTCCACTTTCTGTATAAACTTGACAACTCTGGGTCACTCATATAAGTTGAACAATACAAAACTTGTCCCTTTGCATCTGGCTTATTTCACTTAGCATTAGGTCCTCAAAGTTTCACCCATGGTGTAGCTTGTGACAGAATTTTCTTCCTTTGAAGGCTGAATAACTTTCCATTGTATGAGTAGACTACATTTTGTGTATCCGTTCATCTGTTGACGGACGTTTCGGCTTACATGTTTTATTTTTATTTATTTATTTATTTATTTTTTTTTGCTTTCATTACCATTTATTTATTTATTGGTACAGATAATGAGAATTTAAATTCCCATCCCTTACTAATTTCCAACGTGGATGTCCCTAATATTTGCCAAACTTTGTGCCACGAAGTTTGTTAATGTCTTAACAACCCTGTGGGAGGTACGTATTATTACTAGATTACAGATAAAGAAAACCAAGGACCAACATAGTTCAGTAACTTTCCCAAAATCCTGTGGCTAATAAATTCAGAGTCAGATTCTTGTGGATCTTTTGCTTGTAAGTCTTAAAGTTCCTCTTGGGAGATCCCAGCCATCTGCCTTAGAAGATAACTTATGTTTGTAGCATCTTTCTCTTTCATCATCATCATCATTACCATAATCATCACCATTTCTTCATCTTCATCCTCAGCTATCATTTGTTAAGTTCTTACTGTCTGCCTTGCAGTGCATAAGCATATTGCATGAATACTTCTACTTCTCCTGTGGGGAAGGTAGGTTCATTATCATCTCCATTTTGCAGATGAGGAAATTGTCTTTATCCATTTGAATATGTAAATATAACTTTTATTTTGACACATAAGGACCAGTAGACTTTGTGGTCTATTCCCACAGTCCCATCGGGTAAATGTCTAGGTATGTCCTGAATCTTCTAAATATAACGAAGAGATTTTATAACTCCTATGCCTTTTGTGTAAGCAATTTAGTATATGTCAGTTCTTGCTTTCTTTTTTTTTTTTTTTATTTTATTATTTTTTTTTTTAAATAATAAATTTTATTTTTATATTCCACATACAATTGCAGCCCCCCATTCTGACCCCAATCCCTCCCCTCCCGCCCCTCACCCCCCAAAAAGTGTCTCTGGTTCATAGTTTTTTGTTGATTTTGATTTTCACTTTCTTATAGTTATTCATTCTCCTGGTCCCTTATTTAAGTTTTCTAGATTCCTGCTATGAGTGAGACCATCCGGTATTTTTCTTTTTCTTTTTGGCTTATTTCGCTGAGCATGATCCCTTCCAGCGCCATCCATGTTGCTGCAAATTGCATGTGTTTATCTTTTTTGAATGCTGAGTAATATTCCATGGTATATATGTACCACATCTTCTTGATCCAGTCATCGATTTTTGGGCATTTGGGTTGTTTCCAAAGCTTAGCTATTGTAGACAGTGCTGCTATAAACATAGGGGTGCAGGTGTTCTTTGGAATTGATGTTTCTGTGTCCTTTGGGTAAATACCTAGGAGTGGAATTGCTGGATCGTATGGAAGCTCTATGTTTAGTAGGTCCAGAAATCTCCACACAGCTTTCCACAGTGGTTGGACCAGTTTGCACTCCCACCAACAGTGCAGGAGAGTTCCTTTTTCTCCACACCCTCGCCAACATTTGTTGTTGCTAGTTTTTTTAATATGTGCCATTCTCACTGGTGTAAGATGGTATCTCATGGTAGTTTTGATTTGCATTTCCCTGATGACAAGTGATGTTGAACATTTTTTCATATGCCTGTTGGCCATTTGCATTTCCTCTTCAGAGAAGTTTCTTTTTAGCTCTTCTGCCCATTTTTTGACTGGATTATTTTCTTTGTTGTTGTTGAGTCTCATCAGCTCTTTGCAGATTTTTGTGATCAGTCCTTTATCATTAGTGTTGGGTGCAAAAATGTTCTCCCAGTTGGTGGGGTTTCTCTTTGTTTTTGTTATTGTCTCTTTTGCTGTGCAGAAGCTCTTTAATTTGATGTAGTCCCAGCTGTTTATCTT